AACCGCCCCATTCCCATACAGAAGGCAACATCATAGTTGCACTTCTGATCATCCAAGGGAAACACCTTACTACTTTCACATCCCCATCTAGTTAGCAGTAAGACTTCGTCTTCAGACCCTACCATAGCGTAGCAATTTACACTATTATAGTAGCTGCTTTTTTTCTAACCACTATCCAATAGACCTTTCTGGTATGGTAGGACCTTGAGGGAACAAGCGTTTCACCAGCAAACCTCATTTGGTCATTGTATTATATAAGCCCGATTACTAGGTCAGGGTAACAGCTATCTGTCCGGCCATTTTTTCCAAATAACCCGCCTTCCTGATGAGGCTAACGGTCTCCCTCTAGTCCGATTTCACATCAAGGGTACTGTAGCAGCAAAGTGCACTGCGTTCAGAGGGGTGGAACCAAGCTATTAAGTATTATTTGGCTTCCAGTTTTTATTTCTTAGTAGTTTGCATGTCAGCTTCATGGTCCATCATACTGCAATCAGCTGCGTCACATTTAATTCCCAACAGCCTCCTACGTAATCATCACTTCACTAACGTTACGAAAGTGGATACAACAAAAGATAAACAACCACTTAACTTTCAGTATGAAGTAACAACGAACAAAATCCTATACCTTATAAGACAATACCTCAACTTTTCTACTGATTACTGTTTTTCACCAAATCGATCGGTCCCCGATGCCATATAGGTTTCCCCCCCACCCCCCAATGGGACAGGCCGCAGATCCTGGATCCCATTGCTAGCCACCACAAACCAAACGACATTGATCAATCTTCCTCCAATACTAAAGCACCCAACAATATGTCAACAGAGACCGACAAGTTCATAGAGACACTATTTCTCATCTATATTTTCATGTTTCTAATTTTCTCAACACACTTTATATCCCACAGCTACTGTTAAATACTATTTTTAATTTTAAATAGTAATCCCTAAAACTACTAATCCTTTTATACATTAATTATTTGAAATCCTATGAAATAAACCTTTATGCTATTTTAATCCCAGAATCAGCTCGCTGTCCATCCAACCAAATCAACATAGGACCAGACATTACTGCGTAACCGTCCGAGTCGCCACAGCTCATACCAGTACATCAAGTAAAAGGGCAGTGAAGTGCAAGATGAAGAAAAGAAAACTCAGTCAAAGGAAATATAAAGTACAAAAAGAGAGAAAGAAGAAATGAGATGGTGAGATTCGACATAGCGTCATTAAGATGACGACAATGTGTGTATGCATCTTCGCCACTGACATCGGTTCTCAGCCATATCACCTACAGTCAATTTCCAACCACTGGTTCCTCTTGTCACACCGACCCCAACCAACCAGTATACATCGGCCCACATGGCTCAAACCAAAAGTCAGAGACTTCATACATTGATGCCATGTTTTGGTCCAACCTTTTTTCAGTCGGCCGACATTGTGTGACGAAGTAGACGGCAACTAGGCATACGTAACACGTGTCCCAACCATCTCAGTCGATACAAGTTCACAACCTCGTCAACTGACTTACCCCTTCACCCTAAAACTCTACACCTGACTTCTGCGTTACTCACGTGGTGACACCACGGAATACGGCCTACACTATGAAGACAACGGTGGTCAAACGCCTGAACCTAGCCTTCTCATGTCTCCCACCTTCAATGGCCATGTTTCACAGCCATATAGTAGAACAGACTGGACTGCTGTGCAGTACACGAGACCCTTAATAGACGATCGGATATCACGGCACTACCACAGGTGGTGTAAATTAGCGAAAGCAAGTGGCGTAAGCCAACCAAGCCTTTTGTATTCGTGCAGAGATTTCATCGGCCACTGAGCCAGCCACCAGGGCTAATCCTACTTCCCATCTAAGTGAAGTGGTAGACACACTCAACCACTACACTCTATATCGTTAGCCAAGACACTGTTGAATATCAATCCTGAAGCAACAATTCGCATTTGGGTGGTGAGAAACACATCCAAAACATTCTCGAATTGCCACTCAGTGTCTACAAGGCTCTGCATCTTGTCAGCGTCCTCACCTAACAGGTCTAGGTCATCTGCATATTCTAGGTCGAACGAAAATTCTCCACCGATTAGGTCAACGTCTGTGAGGTCAGGTAGCGAGAGGGAGACACCTCCATAAGAATATCTATGATAAAATTGAATAAGAATGGAGACAGTGAGCATCCTCGACGGACACCACTCGATGAATTTAGCTCACTCGACATCTTGCCATAGGCTCTAACACGCCCACACCCACACCCACATGTGTTCGAGTAGACAGCCTTCAATAAGGTGATGCACTCACTCGGCACGCCTTTCAGTGAGAGACAGCTATAAGACTTCTCGATCAACGGAGTTGAATGCCACCGCTTTCAGGTCGAGAAATACAGGCATTGTCAGGCGTCGGTATGCGTGTCTGTGTTCCAGAGCATGGTGAGGTGTGAATATTTGGTCGATACACTAGCGGCCCGGTCTAAAGCCTGTCTGCCTGGTTTTCTCAGGCTTGCTGTTCCCGAACTCCACTCAGGCGCCAAAGAATTATACAGCCTAAAATCTTAGACACTATGTTCGTCAGACTGATTCCTTTGTGGTTATCACAAGAAGACTGAGATAATCAGTGACTTAGACCAGTCAGAAGGGATCGTAAAGCCTCTGTTAACCTGACTAAGAGCACTCTACCACCATCCTTGCATACCTCAGCAGGTAGTCCTTCTGGTCCTGCTGCCCTTCCTCGTATCAAGTTACCTACTGCTTTCTCAAGTGTTGGGGGACCTATCTTTATGTTTCATTCTGGATTCGACTGGATAGCGGGCAACGCAATGGTGGCTGCAGACCGGTTAAACTGTTCCTCGAGGTTCTCCACTCATCGTTCTATTCGTCTCCTCTGTGAGTGAATCGCAGACCCACTCTTCGTTATAGTTTCACTAACCACAGTTGACCTTTCCTCCAGTTTCCTTAATAAGTCTAAATAACTGTACACTGTTACCAGTCACCACCGCCTTTCCCATCTCTTTAGCCTCCACTACCAACCACTGTTCGTGATCGTTGCGTATACTTTTTCTCAATCTACTTTTAAGTTACGCTCACTCTTCATTGTACTCAGAGCCTGCAGGTAGGGATGCGTTCACGTGCATCCACTAGTTCGAAAGAAGCTGCTGATATCCACTGGCTCTTTACAGCCACTCCTTCTGAGTGGGCTACAGTCTTCAGAGCTGCTTTTACAGCAGACTGAAGATGGCACCAAGCTTCTTCTGGAAGAGTAGTGTTCTGTTACGATAACTGCCTAGCCAACTTCTCACTGAACACGGGTTTGGTGTTTCCGTTTTCTAGCAGCACTTGTAGTGGTTTTGTTGCCGAATTTCTCTTACGTCTATTGAAACGCAGGGATATACGCGCTTGGACCAACGCGTGGTCGCTATCCAAGCCTGTACTCCGGAAGGAACGGGAGTCTCCCACTGATCCTCTCCAGCGGTGACTGATGGCAATGTGGTCTATCTGTGTCCATCGCTGAATTGACCTCGGTGGACGCCAAGCCAGACAGTGTCTTTCTTCTTGTCTGAAATTTGTACTAGCTAAAAACAGGTGGCCATCGACAATACTTTTTGTAGGGGATCACCATTATCTGTACGTTCAGCCGGGACTCCGAAAGTGCCACCTTAGTGCCTTTCTACCTCACTCAAGCTAACCACCTGTGCACTGAAGTCACCTGCAACAACTACCACGTCTGAACGTTTGGCTTTCGAGAAGAGGCTAGACAGTTTACGGTAGAACTCGTCCTTCACTTCATCCGAACCACAGTCAGTGGGTGCGTAAGCAGAAATTACAAAGAGACAACGGCGAGTCTCACTATTCCTTTTAGTTCTTACTGTGCCGTTCAGCCCCATAGCGCAGAGGCGACTATCAACTGGGATCCAGTCTAGTAGTGAGTTTTCTGCTCTAGTGCTAAATGCTATACCTACACCTGCAAGACCACGAGAGCTAGCTATCGAATCTCCAGAAACTCGAAGGGTGAATTTTGCGGATTCACCAGATTGGTCAGGAGAGGTTAGGTGAATAACCACACTTGGGTCCTGTATGCCTGTCTCACAAACACAGCACACATCCATGGCCCGAGTTGCTAGAGTCTTTGCTAACGAAGCCTGTTGACCAATTTGACGGAGGATGTGGACATTGAAGGCTCCAACACGTAATTTGGAGCGTGGTTTAGGGAGACCAGTGATGCTGTTCTGTGGACTCAGATCGTTGTCGAAGGCTGCAGAGCTAGGAGAAATTGAAGATGATGTAGTATCGTTAGTTGAGAGACGTGAAGGAAGATTAGAGGGTAATGATGGGGGAGGTGGATAGCAGTCTGAGGAAACTTGAGTGCAGATAGAGTTGTGAGGGCGGTTGACACTTCCCGGCTGCCCACACCGTGGAAGGCTATTTCTTCTTAAAGTACCTGGAAGAGATTTGTGTGGTATGGTAGGACCTCGAGGGAACAAGTGTTCTACCAGCACAGCTCGTTGGGTCATTGTGATATGCAAGTCTGACCACCAAGTCAAGGTAGCAGCTATCGGTCAGGAGCTTGATATACAGATAACTCAAAGACTGAATTAACCCCTTGTCATGTGTTCCTAAGTGCAAAATATTCCATGTAGAAGTAGAAACTTCACGGAAAGTACGTATCCGGTCAAATTCCCATGTCTCCAAGGATTACATTTAGTCGTATTTGATACCCAGTAATTGTGTCTACCAACAGTCTTCTAAAAACGTTTATTAGGATTGAACAGCGTCAACCAACAGTGATATGTGGAGTCAATTATGTCACTGGTTTTTGATGAGGTGCAATGCACTACAATACCTGCTTACCACTACACCAGTGAAAATGATCGAATCGCCGCCTGTTTTGTGAAGTAATTACTATGGACAGACAACAACTCTACTGAACTACACCGCTTGCCAGGCAAATTCAAATGTGAATGCCAACTTTAAAAAAGCAGCTAAAGAAAAAGTTGAAGTATACTGTAACAACAGTTTGTTGTTGTAGAAGATATTAAAATCCACAGTCTATAACAACCAAAGACCATTACTTAAGTGAAAATATTGAACATGCACAACAGTCTGACATCGGGAGGATTTGTAAAACAATATACTGAATAGTCTGAGTTAACATTCTTTTGTACACTTTGCTTGCTGAGAAAGAAGACCAATCCTTTTAGCTACTAAAACCCTATGATTTCATTGAAAACAGACAACTGAAAATAAGTGACAAGCATAAGTGCATATATTAAAGTAGTTTGAGAAGCATTACCAACCATGGTATACATAAAAGATATATACACAAATGTCACAATGGAACAATACTTTCGTCTTGCTAAAATACAAGTGTAAAGAGAAACTATGGAAGTAATCATCACCGGAAAGTAAAATAAACAAATAGCTTCGTTTTGGGGAAGGACTTTAAAGGGGAAACATCAGAAGAAGGGTGAATCAGTTCAAGATAAGCAAAAAAAACAATAACTCATGTACTGAGCTTCATGTGATAAAAAGTAGGTACGAATAAATGAATTTTCATTTCCCGTCGACATAGAAACCAATTACAACAGGTAACGAAATCAAAAAGTTTGGAAGCAGTTGAGGAGAATAACGAAACTACGATGGCGATTCGCTCATTGTGTGAGTTAGAACAAAAACCCTGAAAAATTGGACCAAACTTTCTATTATTTGATTGGATATAAACTGAACAAATTTAAAATAGAGATTCATCTTATTTTGGGTGATAGAAATAAAAATAATAAGGTTTGGCAGCTATTTATTCAGTTGAACAATGTTGATTTGAGCACTAATGATGAGAATATTAACAATAGTAATAACATGACTACTGGATAAAAAAGGTTAGAGCTCAATGGTTAATTAGGATAGTAGAGGTGATTTTCATGGAGAAAACAGTTATGCAACTTTATAGAGGCTTTAAATTTTATTTTTAAACATTAGAAATATTTGCAAACATCATGTCGGAGATTAAATGTACTGGAAGTGACTGAAGAGAGAGAAAAATCTCTATTGCATATCAGTATAAATATGTACCTACTAAAATCAAACTACGTATTTTATGTACAAAGAATAGTTGTGAATAACTACACATAAACAAAAAAGGGATGCAAAACAAATTATCGAAAGACATAACAAGAGATGCGAAAAATGAATATAAAATAGATGTCGGACACGCCTGAAAGTGAAAAAACCAGAACTTTCTGAACGATGGCCAAAAACTTTAAGTCTAGAAGAAAGTTAGTCCTCCCAACCAGAAGAGTCACTGTTGACTTCTTTATCGTCATCATCATCTTCAGATGAGTTTTCCATGCATTCCCGACGACGTCGAACAGCATCATAAATAGCCTGATAACACATATACAGTGAAATACATAATAGTAAATTTATGCAATACACAAAGCAATAATTCGTGTACTCAAACGATGATGATGATAATACCCTCTAGCATAATATTAACCTTGTTCATATTTTGCACCCTGACGTTATATCTTACCTGAAGTAAAACTGAGAAGAGTGAACTGATACCATAGCCTACGTCTTACAAAATCACATTGATCCCACTTATGACATCTTGAAACACATCAAGATAACATTCATTAACTAGATTGTTCCTATTAAGGGCAAAGAAAATGCATCTCTAAAGTAAAATTTTAATTTCCACACTCCGAATTTCAGCGATATGTTCCGTTTGATGACAAGTTTTAATCTAAATGGTCCAAACAGCCAATCAAATGTCTACAGTCAGCTTATGTAAGGAAAATATTATTTACAGACATTAAAACATTAAAACATTCCTAAATGACATAACTGAGCATACAGCCGGTCAGAATATCACGAACAAATGATTTTTTACGAATGTTTTCATATTTTTATTTAGTGCTGAGTTTTCTTTTATTTGATGGTATTCTGATCCATATGTTTTTGTGCATCTCTGGAGGCCTGATATTTTTTACTTATGTTGACTTATGCGGAAAATTTCAGTCTTATCCATCCTAGTAGCACTAAAACCATCACCACTGCTTCCTTTTTAGTGGGGTTGAGTACTTTGAAAACAGTATTCATCACATAATACACTTAAAACTACTTTTCATCGACTAAGAAGATCTACAAATTTGATCACAAGACACCATGTTAGACTTAGAAAACAATACAATATGTACCAAGTGAGATGCATCCATCCAACAAATAGATCCAAGCTACCCAAAAAAAAATTAACAGAACTCATCGTGGCGAAATTCATCATGAATTTTTTCTGAAAACAGCTAGTGTATCCTTGAAATCCGTCAATGAAGAGTAACAGTCCATAACTACATCCCTTTAACTACGTTTGCAGCCACATTAATCTGCATACAAACGCAAAACAAGTGCCATGTCCTATGGGCGATAATTCACATTGAAAGTCAATAAAAATTAGTGTTCTACTGAATCTGCTTGTTCATCTGAACATTAATTAAGACTTGGCAAACAATATAAACAAAACATGGGACATGTAATTTCTGTTCATCTCTAAACTGTATAAACACACATCCAGCAGTATTAAAAAACTTCATTTTACACCGTTAGACAGACAGAAACATAAGTCAACGTAGAACCTGACAGACAGATGCATCAACTCAAGTTGTCATACTTCACAGCAGTAAGTAAAGAAGTGGGCAGAAAAGGTAGGTATGAAGGGAAAGCATAAATAGACAACTGATGGAAATTTTGATCGAATAAGATAACTAACAGATATTCTACAATTTAGAACGTTAGGTAAGGAATGTGGAATAGATACAGATATAGATAGATATGGAATAGAACAATCATAAAAACTGCACAAACTCACGAAGTTCGCTAACCAAGAAAAACTTATTAGAATCAAACTTACTCAAACTCTCCTGGAATTGAGTCAAGATTTGTTAAACAGATAGAAAACTTTTTTAATGTGTTGGTGTTGACAGTTGCAGCAAACTTCAACATTTTTAAAACATTTGTGGATGGTTTTAATTGAAAGTAAATAACGTATAGAAACCAACTACATACAAACGAAATTAGATGGATTCCTGTTAAAAGTGTACACCTTTGACTTTTTCTGGAGTCGAAACTAGAATCTTCAGGTATTGTAAGATGCTCCGCTCTGTTGAGCAACTGGTTCGAACTCAATGGTCAGCACTTTTCAGTTCCTGTGATTTGTGATACATATGACAACCAACCAGTATCATTGGTGGGGGGTTTATCCGTACTGCCGACAATATAAGTATTCAACAGCCTGTTTCATAAATGTTAGAAGACAGGAACATAACATATGTAACTGCATTCGGAACATTTCTTTCGTCAACAGTAAACTATTACTTAAACTTTGATAATACATTTGTGATTGTGAAGTAATGCATTTACTTGCAATAATATATTCAACTGTAGGATACACATGTCTTTTCAAAACGAGTGACACCACTTGACTACATAAACAAATTTAGGTGCAGCATGTTAATGCTAAGATCTTTTGGCTGAAAGTCAAAACCCTAAGCTATTAGCCCTAACCTGTGCATATATGAGACGAGTAGATGGGACTCAATTAATAGTTAAAAGTTGTATGCATCATATCAAACACCACCGTAAATGAAGTTTACAAACGTTAACTTAGTAAAGATTGATTTTCAATGTAAACGCTTGAGAACAGGGAGGTTCTGTGACACTAATATTTTAAAATATTTCATCGTTTGCAGGAGACGTTTTTAATTCCTTTTGTGATATGCTAGAATGAAAAATACCTGTTTTGTTTGCAAAAATACGAATTAGGCTGATGTAAAAGTGCAATGTATCCCCACATGTACTTGATGTTAGAACAATATAAATGTACCTATATTGTATGTACAGCTGTATGCAAAACTTTTTACCGATCACGATAATTTGAACTTATCAATACCCCAAACTAAGCTTGTACGCTTGAGTTTTTTGATGATGTAGAATTATACTCCCCCACAGTTTATAGTTTGTACTTTATATAAACTTTACTCTATAATTTACCATATGGTCAAAAATTTAGTGTGTTAGTGACGGCTTTTGTAAAGTGGCTTCAGAACTACAATTGTTTCGTGTTCTTCAAGCTTCAAGGTTTGTTCCCAAAAGCTTTATGATCGGATCACCAAGAAGTGGAGAGCCTTCAAGTTGCATGGATGGTTATGTAAGATATTCGCACAATAACCAGAGTCCATAAAAAAAAATACAATTTACCCCGATAACACGATTTACAGCACCATATAATACGGGCTCACATAAGGGAAAGACAAACAGAAGCTCTCTACGGGACTATCATAAATCCTAAATTGTACCTTTATCAGCCTAAATGAAGGGAATGAATAGAAAACAGGGGACACAAAATTTCCAAAATGTGAAGAACAGAACTTCAGACTGACTTGTACGTCTTTGGGCGTGTTGCCTAGAACTGACAAACTGTTTGCACGACTGAACTTCGATGGATCTGGAAGATTTCGCTCGCCAACTTTACGTAATTTGAGGCCAGCACGTATAGCAGAAAGTAGGTCCTGAGGAGGGCACTGGGGTACAATACATCGAGAAGCAGAGTCTTTATTTGGCAAAGAAGTTTGATCTTTTGAGGTTTCATGTCCTGTTTTCTGGGTTGTGACGAGGGAAGGTGGTAGTGGTGGTGGAGGTGGTGGGGGTTGCATAGGTGAACCTGGGAGAGATGTTTGTGGAGATGAAGCCAAATAGGGTGCTGCTGGTGGAGGAGGGGGAGGAGACAATGCAGAAACGGCTTTCTGAGCACTTTTTTCAGACTCACTAAACTCTTCAGTGCGGGAACATGATTCCATCAAACTTTTCTCGATAAAAATTGGTGCAGGAGGCGGCGGAAGATCATTCAAGACCATTGACTGAAAGACAAATGCAAAAGTCGTTTAATATATGCTGAAGAGACAAATAAGTTGTCAAAAGTGTATGGGAAGGTTGAACATAATAAACAGATAGGTTAATGGGAGGATGTGCATAAAAGTACATCAATAAAATAATTAAGAGTATCTTCCTACAGCAAGTGATAGCACCTTTTCATTCACAGACAAATGTCGCAGGAAAGTTCCGATATACTACGATGAACAATGTTTAAACGCAAGCAGTTCACTGACCATCAATAGGTGATATTTCTAAACTGTACCCAGCTTTAGACTAAGAATTTTTGCGCAGAGAAACCACTTCAGTTGATTTAGATATGCTGTTTAAAGTCCTATCACCCATATCAATGGCAATAAATAAGACTCAGGAAATGCGCTGACTTCTTTTTGTACTATCAATAAGAAAAATCTCTAGTGGCATACATAATATAGACAACTAATATATCATCTCTAATAGTTTTAGTAGCGAAAATCAACGTGTATTCTACCTGGATAATGGGTACCAATAAAATGAAACTTTAGATTTGGGAGGAATCAAATCACATTGAGGTCGAATATAAATGACATATCCTAACAAAAAAACTACGGTGAAAAACTGTTGTGCGTTAGATGCAAATCCATGCCTGAAAAACAGCGGCTTTTATAGCAAATACTCATGGCTGCATGCAAAATGGATGACATTCCGTTTCAGGCCGAGCATCGTTGAAAGCAAGGACATTTAGAATCATAGCAATCACAATAGAAGAGTCTACAATAAAGACTTTCAAGCATTCACATGACTTTCTCACTGATAATTAGACTAACAGGACAGCGAATACCGTATTCACTTATTAGTGAGACTCCATTTGAGAACGTGACTGGATATCAAGTACTTATCGTTAACTTCATCTAATCCGTCTGTTAACCACAATTTAATCTACTTGTAAATTTTTGAGTCATTACACAGTCACCTTAATAAAAACTCAGGTTTTAATGAATTTTAACTGGTGGTGAATGAATTTTTCTTGCCTTGATTGAAGAAATGATATCAGCCTATTGAAGAAGATTGACGTGAGTAAATACAACTGTCAGTCCTATTCCCCAATGTTAAAAAGCGAAATACGGTATAAGCCACTCAGACTTTTCTAGATGGATTGAAGCTATAAGATGGTGCAGCTGAGTTATGACTGATTTATTAGATAATTTACTGGAGTAGGACCCTTAGTGAAATGACACCAGAAGAAAGCTTACACACGAAATGCTTAACACAATACGAATATGACTGGAAGTTACTGAACAAACCAATATCAAAAAATTAGTAATATCCAGAGGTCAATAAAGATCAGTTTAGGCTCGCGGTAGCTTAATTTCTGACTAATATACTATTTCTGTTGTGCTGGAAGTCATAAAAGGATCAGGACCTCCCAGCCTGTAATCTACAAACTGCATCCAGCGTTGAATTCCAACTACTAACCATATGACCTCAATGGACAGCATTGGGCAGATATATGGGGCAAGATATCTAGGCTCCAAAGAAAATAGTTTAAGTGGCCGGTAAATTTGTTGTTATCAGGATAATGCAGATCATCTTCGACAGTTTGATGTAAAACCATAATCTAATATTGGATAAACACTCATTTCCAACATAGAAAACTGCTTGTATATATATTACTGCAAAATATCCTGACCTAACAAGGAGGATAGGAACTGAAGTAGCTGAAAATATTGATCAAATTACTTACATAGGAAGTCAGAAATGTTGTAATGAGCAGGTGCTCAATAAAATATCTTCACTATGCAAGTCCTGCGTACAGTCCTTTCCGCAAAATTCTGAGCACCTTATTAAACATTCACTACGCTCTCTAGACCAGATTTTATGCTCATAACCATAGCAACCCATCAACTGTTCTGAAGTCAGGAACTACATGTTCGAGAATGAACGTGACTCGATAAACAAAGTCATCTTATGACTTCAACTTTGACAACCTGAATACACTAAGGTTGAGTACTGGATTTTCGAGTTAAAATTGAAGCGTCTAAAAGAAAGCGATGAAACAGTACCGTAAAATAAAGGATAGTTGCGCTAGGTTACTATATATCAGAGGATCATCACTTTTAAGATGAGGTTCTAGTTAACATAAAATCCAGTGAATTGAAGTACTAACAGATACGATGCAGAAACAATATTAGTGATAACTCTCGGTAAGGCTGAACAGGAATCTAGCTAAAGATTGATACTTTCGACTTTCATGAGGTAATACGAGGAAAGCTTAGACGGTGCCATAGTCCATGCAAACAACTGATGGGTTGTCTGGTGAAATAATTAAACAAATGAAAGGTTACATTTCAGTTAGTATCCCGAAAAAAGAAATGGGCACATACAGAGGAAACCTACCGATTCCATACTTTCCGCCGTTGCACACTGAAAATGATTCACATTATTAACCTGTGTGTGTATTGATGCTGAAAGTTCACTATTTCCGTTTTGCGTACGAAGATCTCTACTACAAGCATCATCGTTCTGAAGTGAACTTTTATTCACACCTAATAGGCGAAAATGAAACAAAAATTGTCAAGTTGAAGTTAAAGGCGCATAGGAAGCGCAGATAAAATGTAAGAAGATAAAAATTAAAGGTACACAATTATCTAAATGCAGAAATGCTGATAATGAAGTGATACCTGTATGGACTCGACATTAAAACCGAAATGTAGGGCAATATCTACTTAGACTCGATGAATGCATGATGAAAACGGTCATAACTATAGAAGAAAAATGACAACCATTCAGAAAATATATTCTAATTGTCCAATAAAGATGATTTCCAAAACAATATAAACAGAAACTCTGAAGATGGCTGCGAAAGAGTGATGATACTTTCTTGAAAACATAGAACTGAACCAACATAAGAATAAATAGGAAACAGTAGGTTTATTATTAGTTTATCACTTAACCTCAAGGAACACAAACTGAATCGTAAAAATATCAGGCTACATAAATGATGTCACAAAGATTACTACTTTAATCGTACATAACCTCACCCGGTTAACTAGTTCACTAGCCGGTCCTAAGCCCGGATAAAGAGGGAAGGTTGGGCATAGGGCTAGAAACCCTACCCCGTAAAACAAATCCAATACCTAAAAAAACTTCAAAGCATAAAGAAATTATACAAAATAAAAACAAACTTATTTCTCGCTGGAATCGGAGATGAAATGACGCTGGTTGGTGAAAGCTTTCGAGAAGCCAGTTGACCGAAGTCGTCTCTTCTCTCGATGAAAGCAAAAGTAAACATGAGGACATGGAATGCCCACACAATGTTCGAACGTAGCAAGCCTGCCCAGATTGCAAAAGAGATGAGGGGTATGGCATGGAAGTGCTTGGAATCTACGAAAGCAGATGGAATGGAAGTGGACTCTCCAAACTGTCAACTAGAGAGTCAATAATCTACTCCAATATTGTCACCCACATGACAACCACGAGCACAGCACACTGAGTTTTCAAGTGGCTATCATAATGTCCCCAACATCATCCAAGGTTCTCTATCTCTCATGCAGTGGGAACAAATCTTCTCAACCATCACGACCATGACAGCAAGATTCAACTTGAAAGGAAGCAAAGTCACAATCATACAATGCGGATCAAGAGAAGAAGGAAAACTTCTACAGACAACTGCAACCAGTAACAGACAAGACTCCAGTTGGCGGCATCAAAATTCTAATGGGCGACATGAATGTCAAACTCGGAACGGATAACTCAACATGTGTGAAGAAGGACTTGGTGAAATGATGAGTGAGAATGGAGAACTAACTGTTTGCAGACTTCTGAGCACTCAACGATTTGGTGATTGGAGGCGAGGTAGTGTGTACCACCTCGAGGATATTCACAAGACAGTGAGTGACATGTATTTCACCAGACACCAAGATACACACACTACACTGAAAATCAGATCGACTTCATCTCAATGTGAAGAAAGTGGAGATGGAGACGCAGCCAGCCTACTGGATACAAGATGAGATGAAGAAGGGGAGCAGATGTAGGTAATTCACACCACTCACTATCTATCTACTGCAAGGAAGCTACCTTCGAAGTCAAAGTTGAAAGCCTTCAAAGTAGTTGGTGATAGACGGCCACAGTTCAAGTTCAAGTTGAACACCCAGAACAGAAAGTGAACTGGAGGACGAAACTACAAAGGACATCCTCACACTGTCAGTCATCAGGACAAAATGGGAGACATTAGGCAGCATTCGTGAAGGAACCTGTGTGGATGAACACTGGAAGTCTTTGAAAGCTATGTGGAGTGAAACCTGAATAACCGTGTTAGGAAGGAAGAAGAAAGTAGACAAGGAATGGGAGGTGATAGAGGAGGGAGAGGAAGATGGTGATGGTGATGGTGGAGCAGAAGATGAACCAGTGCAGTGCAGAGATGAACAACGAGAAGAGGAACTGAACACAACCTATGAAACACTACACTGGACAAAGAAGTGGAGAAAAGTGTGCGCAAATTCAAAAGGCACTTCTACAACACACTCACAACTTAAGCAGAACAGGGTGCTGGTAAGAGAGACAAAGACCTCACAACACTGTATCAAATAACCGGGTTACTATCTGGGAAAAGATAAATACAGACGAAACCAGCGAAAGATAGTGAAGAAAGGCTTACTGCCAACGAGAAACAAAGAAAACGATGGGCTGAACACATCAAAAAGCTCTTGAATCGACCACCACAACCACCCGCAACTCGTCTAAAAATACCACCAGCAACAGCAGAACTACCAGTGAACGCCATAAAACTCCTGAAATCTGGCAGAGCAACAGGACCAGATGGAATTTCACCAGAAGCACTGAAAACACACGCAGAAACAATAGCGGACACCACTACTGCAGAAAGTTAGCAAGGAAGGAAGGGAAGGTACCTGCCGATCGATTGGAGGAAGGGCTACCTTGTCAAACTGTCGAAGAAGGGAGACACAAACTGTCTTTGCGAGAAATGGCGAGGAATCATGCTGCTGTTCACTCCAAGCAAAATATTATGCCGCATCATCTTGGAGAGACCAGGAAATGCTCTGGATTCAAAACTACGACCGGAACAGGCTGGCTTGATTCAGGAAGAATAAATCATGTGCGGATCAAATTGCAGCGCTACGCTACACATCATCATAGAACAGAGTATAGAATGGCAGTCAACTCTCTACCTCAACTTTATCGACTTTGTAAAGGCCTTCGACAGCATCGACTGAGAAGTAATTTGGCAAGCAGCTGCTTCAACACTACGGTTTTAGTGCCACAAATATTTATCAACCTCATTCAACAGCTATATGTCAACGCCACATGCCAAGTGATCCCCATTGGAAAGCTCAGCGACGCCTTTGAAGTAAAGACAGGAGTAAGATAAGGTTGCCGCCTACTGTCACCAATGATCTTCATGATTGTGATCAACTGGACTTGACTGAATCATGCGACAAACTATGAGGAGCGAGAAGATGGGCATACGCTGACTGGACCGATGAAAAGACCCTAGAAGATTTGGATTTCGCCGCCGATGATTTATGCCTAATGTCTTGTCGCACAAACTAGAAGATCTACAGGCGAAAACTAACAGGTTGACAGAAGAGACGAAGCAGCGAAGGAAGACGGGACTACCTTCAGGTGAACGTAGAGATGAAAGAGGTGATGAAGATGCCTCACCAACCAACCAACAATAGCATCAACAACAACAAGCTCCAATCACCATTAACGGGAAAAACCTGAAGGAAGTTGTCTCTTTTACCTACCTTTTCAGGCAGCATCGTTTCAACTACAGGTGGCGGCGGCACAGACGAGGATGTCAAAACCAGGATCTGAAAAGCGAGACAGGCTTTTATTAATCTAAAATCGGTGTGGAGATCTACTGACCTCCACTCAGCATAAAGAACAAGATCCAGATTTTCAACACCAATGTCAATTCAGTGCTCCTATGTGACGGTTTAGAGACTTGGCGTGTCACTAAAAGCATTTCCAAACTACAGATATTCATCAACAGCTGCCACCTACGCTAATTGCATACTGAAGATCAGATGTTGGAAAGAATAAGCAATGTGGAACTCTGGGAACGAACCAACCAACAACCCATCGCCCGACAAATATATAGAAGAAAGTGGAGATAGACTGGGCATACACTGAGAAGGCCGATTGGGGACATCACGCGCCAGGCCAAGCCATCGAATGGAATCCAAAGGGGAAACGACGAGTTGGGTGTCCCAGCTGAGGATGACATGGAGATCATGTGAGAAAGTAATGAAAGCTTATGGGCAGTCATGGCGCCAGGTCCAAAAGACTGTAGAGAACAGAGTGCAATGGAGGCTCGCTACTGAAGCCCACTAGGAACCCAAGGGAAAATAATAATAATAGTAAAGTTAGTCGTACATGCAAGTCATAAGCAAGAAATATCATTCATGACCCTGAATACTAAAACTTTGTTTCATGACAATCAACGTATTATAGAGTTTAAATATTGAAAAACCTAACGAGTAGCTGAGGGTATAGAGTCAAAAAAAACTAAGGAAACTGGTGAAGGGTTCAAAATTGTTTTATTTTAAAAGGACACTAAACTAAAACTCAACAACCAGAAAGTATCAAGATGGTTTTAACATCGAACCTGGCATGACTGCGTAAAGCTCCAATTTGTCATACCTCAGGTTAGCACATCAAACGAAAATGTATCAGGATGAAAGATAAAATAAGGAAGACAGAAGTCAAAAGTGGTGCAAAGTTATGAATAGAGAGGAAGGAGATAATACTGAATTAAGTGTAGCGATTGGGATAAAAATGTATGTCTGCCCTCGTGCCATTGAGATCGAATCCGAGCCTTATAACCTTGAATCCATAACCACTGGTTTCGGTTGACGTGTGAACCCCGACTTTTAAATCTACACTTACTGAGACCGATAGTCAACGACTTCAGGCACTGATGTCATGATTCAGTATGACTTTTAACCTTTTCCCAGCCTGAAAATAGTTCAGCTAACATTGAATAGCAGAGTAGACAGTGACTAAGTATGTGACATGTGTCCCAGACACCTCAATCGATTAAAGTTTATAACTTCATTGACTGACTTTTCTCTTCTATCCAAAACTTTACTCTTTTTACGTTACTGTCGTACTGGCATCATAACACATGCTATAAGATACGAAGGCAACGATCATGGAACACATGAATTCTTCTCATGTCCTTTACCTTTAATGACCGTTTCACAACCATACTATAGCAGAGCGAATTGCAGTGCAGTACACTCGACCTTCAACAGGATACCACACCGGTGACACAGATGGAATAAGCTGGAAAAAGTCAAGCGAGTCTTTTGCGTACGTGCAGAGATCTCGTCGGTCCAACAGTCAACCACTCCACTTCCTATCGCAAAGCAACGTGCTAACGCAGACTAGTCCTGGAGCAACAGTTTACATTTGGGAGGAGCGAAACGTATCCCGAATATTCTCAAATTGCCACTCGAGGTGTCCAGAAGACAGCGTCGTCACCTAATAGGACTACTTCAATTGCGTGTCGAGGACCAACTAAGGAGTCACCTGTGGCAAGATAGACGACGAGAGGAGCACCTCTATAACTACGCTTATGACAAAATTAAATAAGAATGGAAAATTGAATAACTTTACAATATAATACAAAGAAAAACTCCACGTGATTATAAATACATGAAAAAGCACATGAAACTTTTAGCGAACCTGCTGCTTTTAATTCGAAATCATTCATGAACGCTGGAGGTGGAAGTGGTGGTGGCACAACATGCATCGGCATTTGTACAGGAAGCTTAGGAGGTTCCGGAAGAGTCATCTGGTGAGCTGATGAAGGGTCATGGTTACCATTCATGTGATTATTCGCAGAAAACTGGTTGTTTCCATCGAAGACCGGTTTGCTGGACTGAAAATTGTTTCTCTGATCTGCTATATGTTGAACATCTTTCACACTATCGACTTGCGTTAACGGGTGAAGCACAACGGGTGGAGGTGGTGGCGGTGGTAATGCAGCACTTCCAAAGTTCGCACTATTTGGAAACTGTGATTGGATTGGTTTACCATGAACAGTACTAGTATCTTTATCCAAGTGCAGATTAGTATTTATAGGGCCATTCCGCTCAAACATTGCTGTAGGAGGATTGTGACCACCAACTCCTGGCTGCTGAATGATAAGTTGGGGTTTTTGAACAGCTTGATTAGACGCGCTTTTAGCAGGAGCAGATTTTCCCTTAACCTTTGGCCTCTGGAATAAAAATCGTCAAAAAGGTGTAGTAGTTTCAGGAACAGTGAAACTGTTACTTATTCACATCTGATTAAAGACTTGAAAACGAGTTGGTTCTGAATCAAGTAAAATATGTAGTGATACAGAATATGAATCAACCAAGGAAATATATTTATTGGTGATAGTAGTCAAAAAAATGCTCAAACTAAGAAAACAATTGCTATGATGTCGATGTCGGGCTTGGACACCGATGTGACAATTCATGGAAGCTTTTTGATGCTAAAAACAGAACATTAGTTGGGAATCATCTGAAAAATGAAGACCGAGCACTGTAACTGTAGAGTGAATAAGACTAAATGTAGTCACATGACCATAAACAAGCTGTTTTTAGTCCCTCTGGGCAACTTGCGAAAATAAGTTTCCGAAACATTTAACTAACTTAGCTCACATTCTACAATCAAGAACATCTATAAAAAAAATGTGGGAGAAAAATTACGTGAATTTTCGAAATTGATCGGAAATTACTTTTTTCTTAGCAGCTCTTTTGTGTTTGTGATCTTGTAACATTTCTTGACTCCATAAGTCGAAGAAAAAGCTTGGATCTGAATATAACTTCATACTGACTTTTTTGTCATCTCTTAGAGCATCCATTTGTTGCAGTGCAGGAGCTGGTTCTGCTTGGTCATAATGTGACCGCATTGAAGGGGGTATTGTATTGCGATTTAACACCTGATCAAGATGAAAAGTAGAAAGAACAACTCACTTGACTATCAGTAGGCTTTTTACTTGTGAACATAGGGAGTTCAACTTCCTGTACTGCAGCTGTGAGATCCTCATCTCCGTTACGAGCCACTTGCATATCCTCATGAAGTTTGCTCAAACGATTTTGTAGACGGACGGTTCGTTCAACGAGTTGAGATAAATCAGTGGTAAGCTCTTCAAACATATTGTTAGCTAACCGACTAATAGATGCTATTTGTCGCATAACATTGCAGACCGTCGAGTTAACCACGAATTCTAGTTCGTTGTCTACTCCATTCGGCACGACTACTTGACTTAATTTGACTGGTTGAACTGTGTGTTTTGGGAGCGGCATTTCTTGATGCTGGAACAGAAAAGCATAAAGCCAAATAATGCTTTGAAAAACAGTGATAACAACCTACGGAATGAATACGTGAATATTGTTTGCGATGAAAAAAATGAAATGAGAAGAGTTCATAAGATCTGACCAATCAACTGACACCTTCATTCACTGCTTAAAACAATAATACTAACACCAGATATGATCATTTTTAATGCGGTAGTGAATAAAATAGTTCCAGCGATACGCGTATAAACATGTGGGTTTCTATACTCTAGCAGAGAAAACAGTCATACATAGGGACTAGACCAAATTCTTTAAGTTAGTGCTGAGGATGTCACCAAGCCTGGTAATAACATTCACGACAAAAATCCAGAGAACACCTAGCCGCCATCATTTTCATCCTGAGCTACAAGTCTTTTCCATCATTTCAAACGAAAAGATGCACCATCAGCGTACTACAACATTCAGTCAAGCTGTTATGACTGAGTGATAAAATCAGGGTAGAACCTCGCACACAACTGCATTGGCTCAAGTTGCCACATTTCACAACAGCACAAAAAAACAGGTGGTTAGAAGTAGATAAAGTAGTGTAAGAGAATAAACAATCTGAAGATAACGATTAGTGAGAATATTCAAGCTTTAGAAGATGCACAACGGTGGGTAGAAAGAATGGCAAGTATGTGAAGAATTAAAATATTGTATTCTCATGATGTAAGTGACCGGATGACAAGTACACTTTCCAATTACTAATACCAAGAGGAATATGACACTATTGGCGAAAATTTCAAAAAAAAAACGGGAAACTGACAGTTATTGCCACTACTACAGAGAGAAGAATATGATCTATGAACCAAGTAACCATTGTAAAAGGCAAGGCACCAATAATGTTAGGATCAATTGAAAATTTGGATAAGACACCAACATTCCAGCTTTGACTGAAATTAATGTTGACGCAGAAGCATGAAAATAACTCATCAGAAACTCTTGACGGCACGGAAATAGAATTTTGAAAATGACTTGAAAATCTAGCACATATTCACTTACTAAACCATGATGTCTTACGCGCGGTCTACCAATAATACAGTCCAGATCTTAAAGTTTAATATGAAATGCGTGTAGCTCTATATTGATCTATCTTATTTCAATATATATTATAATATTAATACCACCAGTCATCGGTTGTCCAAATTTCAAAAAAAAGTAACGACAAAGAAAACAGATTTCCCAACAAATAGTAACAATTTATTGTTAGTAGTTAGTGAAGTTATGGGCTTCAGTTAATGCTCCATAGTCAATCTGTACTTCGATAGTGTGAAAGTTACATCCACTGGGAGAGATATCACAAAATGTTTTCGATGCATTTAAGAAAGTGAACAAGCCTTTAGGGCGTAATAACGAAAACAGATAGAAGAAGTTGATGAAGCTACACCGGGAAGTAGAAATTAAAATGCAGAAAACTATGGCGATATGTACTAATAGGCATGATAATGTCAGTGAGGGAATTTGGGATCACTGAAGATGGAACGCAGTCCACAAGTAGCACAACTACATAGGATGATGTATATATGAGAACATTTACAGGAACCTCTAACCACTCTGCAACTACTTATTAATGGGTTAGTGTAAGTGCAACATCGACAGAGTCGCTGAAATTTCCTGATGGCCTAAGTAATTCACGATAATGGACGAACCCAAAGAATTGACGCGAAAAAGCTCCCGTAGTAATCACGACATAATAATGAAATCAAATTTACAGAGTTACATGACATGATCATCTGGATCTCCATTCCTCGTAAAGCCCTGGGAGATATGTCCAAAGCCACTACTTTATCTGTGAACGACACTTCAGTGAGTCAACAAAAAGGTGCTGTAGAAGAATCATAGATTAAAGGGACCTGACAATTTTATCTTACTGCCAATACCTATGTACTCATGTGCCAGTCTATGGTAAGATATCCACCTAGGTAACCAACTTGCGTGAATGATGTTCTACATCTTTCCTGAAATCGAGGAGCAAAACATAGTTGGAAGGATGGAAGGTAAAGTTATTTTACGAATATCTGAGCATGATAATTGTTACCTCTGTTGCACGAGACACAGGCTAAGTGGATAGTCGATAGTATAAACATAAGGCCAAGGCAGGTGTTTCTCACAGCTTCTACTTCCTTAAGTGTCTGCTGTATTTAATTGCTTACTCAGCTTCATTTGTAGATGACTCATTTCTACATTATTGTAAAAATACAACTGGTTGAGAAAATCATGACTGCCACTAACGTTTGCGTATTTCAGGGGTTGATAAGACTACCTCAGGATTACACCTTAAGTGATCTCAAGTTACATAGGGAGCCTGAGGAGTGTTTCTCTGTTTACCGATTCAATGTGCTAGCTAGATATGGTAAGCTTCTAACGGTGTTGAGTTACATCACTTGAGATAACTTGGAAGTGGTTCAAAAAGCTTTCCCGAAAATCAAGAGCCAATACGAAGGACATTCAAAATCTTCATCAACTGAAAATACTGAACCTGCCAGTTTGCATCGTGTGAACCAGTTAGTTGCAAGAATTTTTGGTTATTTTCAGTAAAAATGCAGCAACGATAAGAGGTTCGGATGACTGCACCAATGAACTATCCGGCTCGAATACTGGAAGATCCAACCTTTCAGTACAGTACGCCCATCTTTTGTAAACCTGTTCTGAATTCACAGACAATGAGGTAACTTTCGCATTACATTTGTCACTTCTCAGGATACCAACCGTAACTGAAGCAAGTAATTCTTATTGTACACCCCGATTACATGGTAAGTTATGTCAGTACCTGCCTTTCAGCACTAATTGAAGCACGATTGACAAAAATTGAGGGTAAGCACGTATGTATATTGAAGTAATTACTTTCAGGAATAATTGCAGAAAACAGAATAAAGATGGAGAGTAAGTCGTTAGGTCTGGTAACCCCTTTGTTTTCTAAGGAGTCTTAATAAACTGGAGGGCACTCTCAACATGCTTGTTGGAGCAATAAATGTCCGCAGGGATCTAGGAGTCATCGATGCCTCTGAGAGGATGAAGTCGTCTGGTTGATGGCAGCTCGATGCAGATGCCAAGCTGGTACAGTTCGGGAAACAGTTAACAGATCCGCTATTTTGAGAAGCCGTTGCCGCTGAGTTGGCACCATCAGCTGATCCTGATATCGCAGTGTCTGTGAAGCGAATAACGAATCTACTGCTCGCTCCGACTTAAAGCAGGCTATTTTCATGGTCATCAACTGCTATGAAAAGACCATTTAAAAAAACGTCTGCCTGCAAAGTTATAATAGGTAGGTTGCCTTTCAGTATTTTTTTTAGGTATCATCTTTAACTGCCACCGGCGCAGCAGTATTAGTGAAGACATCACAGCTGGGAGAATAGTTTCCAGCATTCAGAAATGGTTTCACAACCACCATGATCGACTTCGGCTGCGCGAAAAGAGGTCTCGCCGTGAGGCGCCGCTATGTTTACTTTTGGAACCCATTGAGCTTCCTTAGTTCCTAGATGCGGACACGCATGTTTGTACATCGGAGTACGCTGAAAGCACCCGAGTATTGTCTTCACCTGAATATGAATAACGCCGGCCAAGGTGTAATTAGCAATTGTAAATCAATAAATTCTATACTTTTTATGATAAATCTATTCATTCTATACGCCTGCATTCTTTTACCATTTGTTATTTTAACAATAACAGTCACGTAATTTGCATGGATATAGACTGCATGTACGTCCATGTTTCTTTAAGAACTGTTGAAGCCGTACTTTGGGTGTTTTCGGGTAAAACTTTTGGACGTATTTTAGAAGTTTCGGGTTTTTGGGCAAGATGTTTGACATCTTCGGGCACGACGATGTACTGTCGGTAGTATTCCCAAAGTTTTAGTGCCGTTTTTTGCCCAAAGTATTTGCCGGTTGGGCCCAACCGCGACCCCAGTACAAACAACTCAGTGTTGCTTTTACCAAGACTAACAAATTGAGGTCATACAACCAGTAGTTTTATCAATTAAGTCGCTTACAAGCCCCAGATGTTCATGGTGGTAACAAAACTATTGGTGGACTGTGAAAACAGACACTATAATCCACGACAACTAGCCAAGAGATGTGAGAGATCATAAAATAGCTCCTGGAGGCAAAAAGCAACAAACTTATCAATACACTACTGGTCAGTTTGAGGAAAACTGTGGCATGCTAATGGACAGTAACCTGTTCATTTGCTAATTTAAAACTGAGGGGGCAGGATAGTCTCCTCATCACAAATATACCCAATTTACCTTAAAGACTTACAACGATGCTAGCTACGTTTAGCTAACTTACCTTGCAACAAATAATCACACGATGTCTTCGTTAATTAATCCATTGGGAAATCCAAGGTATGGAGCGCCTACAGGAGTCAAATTGATGCGGTTAAACAAACGAATACCTTCCAGGCAAGACAAAAGAAATACTGGAACGTGAAGAAGTGGGTACAACTTATGAACTAGTATATTTGGACAGTTCTTTCTTCGCCTTAAAACTAGCATATGATGGCACCAAAAACAATTCAAAAAGTGCTGGGAAAATAATTTGTTGCAAAGCTACTCCAAAAAAGGACTCGGTGGTTAAGGTTTTGCTTCGATATCCAATCTTGAGATGAGGAATACTAAATCAAATGTCTGGTTCTACAGTGTCAAGAAAGACATAGGCCTGAATAGAATTACCAGGCATCCTCTATGTTTTTGAATACTGTTCACATTTCTTTGAAACATGGAATGCCTTTCCTTAGATGTATACGGATGTTGGACCCACTCACTTCGGTAAAGTACAAGTTTGCAAGCAGTTACAACTGGAAGACGTTTGATGACTTTGTTCAGGCCTGCAATATGAGCCTATTCACTTGGTGAGGCCGGTCGTTTTTTCTCCTGAAGACTGAACACAGTGGAAAGTCAAATCCTAGGATGCAGTGATGGAAGACTATCATTTGAGTTTTCTACCGAAGTTTGAAGAATACCCAGAAGTCCTTCAGACATTTTTGAATGACCAAGGGTTGTGAGATACATTAATTTAGGCGAACATGTTTCATATATTGCGTTTCAGACCGCAAAAGGGAGATAACGGATAGAGCGAAAGGCTCATAGAAGTGTGTGCTGACCTCATTACTACCCCCATAGTTAGCAAAACAACATACTTTGCTGTTTACGCAGAATGAGTCGGTACCAAGCGCATGTAACTTAAAGGTCTTTCGATATAAGAATATCCTCCGATGGCTTCTCGTTCCGGCTATCATGACTGTGAACGCAGTTGGGTGGTGTGGACAAAGCCTTGTAGCGTCACACACTTCCCCAAAATCAATAGCCTACGGTTTGATGACTTTCGACATAGATGCTGACCTTGGTAGTTTAACTGGACTCGCTAAGCTGAAGGTACACGGTCAAGCATCCTCGCCATTTGGCACGCTGTCATATTCGACTCTCTAGCCAGTTAGTTGAAACGCATCGGTTTTTTGGCACGACCATCAAAATATACTATTCCATCCGACTACGCTATCGTGTTCTTCCTTGGTCTCGTATTCGTGGGTATATAATAAGTCCGAATAATTAGTGATTGGTCTTTGCGTCTGTCAAGTTCCCACCAGGACAAATCCTGAACCTTCTTCCACAACCTAACGCATAGTCTGACAGAATACTTTTCCAAGGGTCAAGTAATGGCCACCACATGTGCCTCATTCTATCGGCCGAATTTGTCAAATGTACTGATGCCTATGAGGCTTAACTTTATGTCTTTTATTCCCCTTATGGTTTACAGGTAGCAAGAGAAGTGTAGGATACACTTTTGCTCAACACTATTGCATTTGCAGCTCTCACTACCGGCCTTAACGATGCTTTTGCTTTCACGCCGCAGGATGTAGCATCACTGGACGGTAATTTAGTGGGAAGCTACTCTGTGACTGCATCTTAGTGCCCAGAGGAATCATTCGTAACTTCGCTTCCAACAGAATATTTGTTGATCATGCAAGCATGCAATAAACAAGCTTCAGAAAGTCAAATAAATTAGACATATGTGATAAGCAAATCGTTTCTTAAACAACTTATTCTCATTTTCCTGAAATGGAATCTTAAATAATAGTTTTTCAATATTTGGCGCGTCATTAGTGTAACAGAAAAATGGTCTCCAAATCCCTCCCGATCACCCTCATTTGATTGTATTGACATTTATTTTAACATTTTTACCCTCGTTATGGACGGTGTACCTTTGACCCTAGCTGGTGTAATGTTATTTGTTCGTTTAACTGTCTTATTTGACTTTACACTCGGTATTTGCCTTTGTATGTTTGAGACTTATTATGAATGTTTCGCTTTCCTATCACGTGACGCTGGACTGTTGACAAAGTGATGTTTTACTGCGCCCGACGCTTAGTTTTCGTTCAACTTACGGTTGTGCCGTGATCTGACTGTCAGTCTTTTGACTGTCTACTGGAATCGCTTACTTGTTGGTTTGATTCTGGTAGACAGAGTTTTGATCCCTTTTGTCGGGAATATTCTTATCGACTGTCAGGTACTTAACAATTGTATTTGTTTTACCCGTTTTTACCGTATAGTAAGTATTTACACACATGAACGTTTGGTTTTTACAGTTACCCAGCGGCACTATTGAGGTATTTTTGTATTTTTGATGTAACTTGTTGTTGCTTTGATAGTACCACAGATTTTGATACGAATCTAACACTCATTTACTACAAACCGTGCTTTGGTATTTTGATTCAACCTTTGTGTGTCACTCGCGGAAGTCCGGAAGCCATACAGTAGAACGCAGGAACTAGTCAGATTCGCGTTAGTCGGCACCGCCTAGTTATTTCTCGCGTTCAGGCCAAGATTATTGGATTTCGGCCGTTATAATTAGGACACGAGCAAACTTTCAAGTGTCCCACCATAGCCTCTAAATTATTTGCGTGATTTGCTGTTGAAGGATTTCGAAAGGATTTTGGGCTCTTGGTGACAGGTGCTAGTCTGATGGCGAAATAAACCTGAAAATCAGGTTTGATGGTGGAAAAATCGATGAACGAGCCCTTCTATGTGGTATTGGCCCCCAAATATGGCCCAACTCTTTGTTTGTCTGCCACTTAGAAACACAGCGGATAGTGAAAACTAAATTAGAATTAGATGACGCTGCTTAGGTAGTTGGAAGTAAGCATGTCAGCAGTTGCTGCGATAGGAAATCTAATGCTGAACCACCGTGCAGTGGTAACTACTGATTTATAACCTTGTGTCTGGTATCAAAAGAGGCAGCTGACATCCCACTGGAATTAGCTGATAGTGCGATAGGACTGAATTAGGAAGAATTCTGTTGGATCCAATCGAAACTAACATGCTCAAAACTGTGCATAAACCTGCTCACAGTAAGCAATATCCTTTTACGACAATGTTGTGTACGTTCGTGTGGGGTATCAGAACCGATCTACATTGTGTTTCATCCCATTTCAGTTTGTCAATCTGATTATGAGGTTTCATGAGTTTTCGCGGCCATGGCCTGTTACAGTGCGAAAAATAATGATTGGACTTGTATAGATAGTGCTTGGTCACTTTCACAATCAATAAATCCTGGGTTTCGATCATCATGAAGTCGTAGTCCGGTGAACATCCTTTGTTTTTGTCTGTTGTAGTTAGGTTTTGTGAATGTGGCAACACTGGCTACCCTCCACGGAGTTTCAGCCAAGGTCTGTTCCTGAAATAATTGACTCTCGATGACAACCAAGACAGCTTTCGGGACCGAATAGGTTTTCCGCAACGAGGAAAGACAAAAACAAAGAAGAGGACAGAAAAGCAAGGATTACGACATTCAGTGTTTTCCCTACGTGCACGTTTCTCCCCACTTAGATTTCCTTGTTATGGCATCCTTTGTATATGCTTTCTGTGTTAGACATTTATAAACATATATTTCAAGCTATCGTGTAGCTTAGAACTTCTAGTCTTTCTCACCATGTCCAGTAAGGCAGAATGTGTTGTTGGTAGGAGGTGAGAACTTACGGAAATTTTCCTCAAAGTTCCGTATGAAAGGCCAGTGCGAGTGTTGTGGATGTCTCATTATTCATTAAGAGGGCCTGACATACGACATGCCGTGGGGGATAGTGTTGGTGTACTCAGTAAGCCAGATAAACTACCAGATGATAAGAATACAATCAGCAACAGGCTTAATTCGGAGGTTGCCTAGCGCGCCCTCACTTTAGTGGGGAATCTGTTCCAAATCTGAGAGAGTTTTACGGCGAAGAAATCTGCACGTAAGCAGGATTTAAACGGGTTCATTGTGGTGCTGTATGCACGGTTGCGCAGATCGTAACAACTGCTGTGTTTGAACTGCAAATCATCACTAGTTGTATAAGGGGATCTGAGTAGCACATTGAAGATGGTCGGGTTAATTTCGAGCTGTCCCGTGGAAAGTGGTCCCAGACCTAGGTTTCTGCATCTGCGCCTCATATCATATACCTGCCCAGTGCTGCAGTGGAGCAGGCGGGTGTTCGACCCTTAATCTGCAACCACTTTAGATGACGCGTCCTAAGACTAACCTTATATTTTTTTTCAAGATTTTACACTCTTCGCAATCTAGCCCACAGTGTTAAAGAGAAATCCTTTGGAACATTCCTCTGAGCTAACTTCTTCCCTATAAAATACCCGAATGCATGGAACCATCTTCCCTTGATGGCGTCACCGCACTTCATGAAACTTATAGGGGGGGACTTTAATATACCTGGCATCAAGTGGCAGTCACTTACTTCCCCTAAGTGGTTTGACAATTTTATTGGTGTGTTAGACTCTGAGGATGGCGCCAGCACGTAATACAACAAACTATACGCGACGGCATACTTCTCCAATGGGTTATTGCCCTTTACTCTCCAAGTCGGCCCAGAATTCCCGGGCAGCTACCATAGAGTAGTGTTTGGTGACTTTCGACTACCTCCCAGTACTACATCAGTTCCCATATCAAAAACAACCACAATTAGACGATATAAGAATATCATCTGGGAAGAGGTACGGCACATGTCGCGATGCTTGGACTGGGGCTCTTATTCCACCAGCAGCTCAACCCATGAACTAAGTGACATCTTCTAAAGTTCCATGAATGTAATTCACGACCATATTGCTTCGGAGGTATCAGTAGTAATTAGAAAGCCAAAAGTGAGCTTCATCCCAGAAAATTTACGTTTCAGCGTGCGCAGATGTGTTAGAAATTTCTATCGATCTGATGACTTGCCTCATTAAAAGTTGCTCAAGAGAACTTCAAGGCAAATGGGTTACTGAAAGCAATCAAGCAAGAAGCTAGCGGTGAAGCACAGATAAGCAATGTTCAATCATTAGTGAGAATTCTAAAATCCCGTGCAAACTTATCTGCAGTAATTCCCAGCAGCCTGATCATTGACGGGG